GTGCACCAGGTCTGTCCAGCGTCCTCCCCCGCCACCTGATCCAACTCACCACCAGGTGGTGATCAGTTGACAGCTCAGCCCCTCTCTTTACCCGAGTGTCCAGAACATATGGTCGCAGGTCTGGTGATACGATTACAAAATCGATCATCGACCTACGGCCTAGAGCGTCCTGGTGCCACGTGCACTTATGGACACTCTTATGTTCGAACAGGGTGTTCGTTATGGCCAAACTGTGATTAGCACAGAAGTCCAATAACAAAGCACCGCTCGGGTTCAGATCAGGGAGGATGCACAAAACAAACACATAAAATTCAAGTTCGTAACAAGTGGTCATTTGGATGGAAGAATGCAATCAAGTTGTTAACTCTCTCTTCTCTCATCAAGGCACCTGTACCACTCCCTGTGCAAAAAAGATGAACATTCAATTGATGTTCAGAAAAATATAAATATTCAGTCACTGCTAGGAACCGTAAGATAATCAAAATATAGCTGCCAAGTTAACTAAATAAAACCAGAGACATAATGCAACACTTCATGTAATGACAAATTTTGCAAACATAAGTGCATGATAAAGCTTATTTGTTATAAGCTTTATCTCAGTGTTATGAGAACGTGTGAACAAACTCATGAAAAACATTAATGTAAAAGTGACCTGTGTCAAAGGAATAACTTTACTTTAACACATTGAGCAAATCTGAAATTTTACACGAGGCAGGATTTAAAATGGTTTCGGAGAGCTCATTCACAAATCATGAAGTTACAGTGATGATTCCCATTATTGCAGCTTCAGCCCCCCCCTCTGTGGAGCTGCTGCCTTCTGCTCTCCACTCTCTTGTGACAATAAAATAAAAAGACAATAAAAAGATATAAATTGAATAAATATAAAAATAGTGAGCCAGACACCAACAGATTACCCACACGACAGCCTCAGACTCCTCATTGTTTCCATACAGAATGTATGTGACGATGTAAAAAAGCAGGTATCCATTTAATTAACTTTTACTATTAAAACAACAGTAAAAGTATATTTAATAGTACAAAAACTAAATATTGTTCTCTTCCTCTCTGTACTGTCATTACTGGTGAAGTCCATCTTATCATAATAACATTAATATTAAAACCTTCTTTGATTTAAAGATATGGCACAGAATTAAATGTTGGACAATCAATGGATTAAAAAAAAATTCTGTAAAAAATGTGTGTTTTACAGCACAAATCTGACACAATCAACGTGTCTCAGTTCAGCTCAACATACTAGAAATTTAGTTTCATTTTCATTCACTATAGTGAACAGGCAGCATGGTGGAGTGGTGGTTAGCAGTGCTACCTCACAGCAAGAAGGCCCTGAGTTTGTCTCCACCACCTGGTCTGAGCCTTTCTGTGCGGGCTTTCTACGTTTGTATGGGTTCTCTCCAGTCTCGCTTCCACCTCCACTTGATATCTACAATATCTAATTTGTCTCCACCAGATGGCGCTGCCAGGCTGTCGTTCAGATACTCACGTTATCTGTGTAAGTGGTTGCCCTCAATACAAAAACAAAAACGATTTTGTGATTCTCAGTAAGCAAAGAAACCAGCTAAAGAATAACATTGAAGTAAAAAAAAATCAAATTTAAAAACCTGATTATAAAACTTCAGAAGACCTTCTTTAAATTAATCCTTCTTTAAAGAAGTGTCACAGTTTATTGTTCGCACTCAACAACTTTGAAAAGCAAAGAAATCATCATCATTTAGATTTTAAAATAAACAAAATATTTACATGAACAACATGAGAAATATTCTGAAAATATTAATTTAAAAGAAACAAGAATATAAAAAGCAAAAGTTTCTAACAAAAACTTGAGTGGGTCATGAGATTTTCACTTGAAAAAGTTACTTTGGTTTTCAATGAATTGCTAATAGTTCTGCTAGATCAACAAAATAAAAAAAACCTCATAATGAAGGTAAAGAATTTGATTAAAAATTTCCCTAAAATTAAGCTGCTGCTGGACTGAAAAAACAAAAAGATAAAGAAAGAAACAGACAAAAACAGTTAAAATAAAGAATCACTTTTCAATCATATCTCAGTCTGACAGATTTTGATTTCAGAGGTTTTGGCGTCTCCTGCATTTAAAACTTCAAAATATGGGAAGAGTTTTTCAGTGAAAGTGTCTCTGTGAGTGTAGATGTGAGTCATGTTTTCAGGGTCATAGAAGGACACCTCCCCCCTGTCATAGTCCAGCTGGACTCTGATACTCTGGAGACTCTTCTTCACTTTCACAGTCTGACCATCACCATTAGTGTATTTTCCATTTCCATGCCTTAAACACCAGATTCCATATTTTGGTGAAATAAAATACTCTCCCTTTCTGTCAACTGACTCTTTAGCTAAACCCACAGTCCACCCAGGATGGTCTCCCACCTCCACCTCCCAGCTGTGTTTCCCTGAGCTGAAACCCTCAGAACCAAAAACAGTGACATACTTTATGTTTCTCTCTGGATTATCAGGAAGCTGCTGCTTTGTGTCTCCTTGTGTCACACTGGTCAGATCATCAGACAGATAGAGACAGCGGTTTGCAGTGTTTGGGTCCAGAATGACAGGACTGAAGTGGACCTTCTCCTTCATCTTCTCCCACACTCTGAAGGACAGGTTGCCCAGGTGTTTGGCCACATTTATCAGTGCTCCTGAGACCAGCTGTGGATCTGACACTGAGCTCTGGGCTCTGGCTCTGCTCTGAGTGTCTTTATAACTGCTGAGGAATGGCACGCTGTGTTTCTGCAGCTCTTCTTCAACAGCAGAGATGCTGTCTGACAGAGAGGAGATCTGCTCCTCAATCATCTTCATCTCTCTGCTGATAGTCCTCCCCTTCTGCTCCTCTTCCTCCCTCAGAGCTGACAGTCTGGACTCCTCTTCCTCTTTCAGGAACTGCTGGAGCTTGTTGAACTCTGCTCTGATCTGCCTCTCTGTGGACAACAGCTGCTTCTTGGAGTGTTGAATCATTTCATTGTATGTTTCCTCCACTTGTTTGTATTTGTTCCTCTTGTCCTGCAGAGACTTTAAGTCAGATTTCAGCTGCTCCTTCAGGTCACTGACTGCTTCTTCTACAGGAACCACTTTGTGACTCTGGTGGAGAGAAAAGTCACACACAGGACACACAGCTCTCTGCTCGTCCACACAGAACAGTTTAGGCTCTTCTTCATGTTTACTGCACACCACCATTAATTTCTTTTCTCCCTTTTTTGTCTCAGATGATCCAGATTTCTGTCTCCCAGCAAATGAATCAGCAAGTTCTTTCAGTGTAAAGTTCACAAGATAAAAATCCTTAGAAGATTTTCTTTTACAAATGGGACAGTTTTTGTTTTTAGTTTGTTCCCAGAATTTCTGCAGGCAGCTTGAACAGAAGCTGTGGCTGCAGCTCAGAGACACAGGATCTCTGAAAGTCTCTGAACACACATGGCAGCTCAGGAAATTTTGAAAAAGAGCTCTCTCAGCCATTTGATTGTTAAGTATTTTTAACTCACCAAATAAGTGTCTTTTGAATTTTCTGATAAAAATCCTCCAAATGTGTGTTCTTTCAGCAGAGATCTGACTCCCTGTAATGGCGTCTCTGTTCAGTTCAAAAGTGTCGGAATTTACTTTTGTTTTCATGAATCACGATCACGTGTTAAACTGAAACACGCTCATAACATTTGTATTTGCCAGAGGGCGCTGTCTGTGTCATTCAGATAGTTTTCAGTTTGTGCTCCTTAAAACGACACAAAAGCGAAAATGTAGAAAATCTTAACCTCTCCATTTAAAAAAGAAAAGATAAGCTGAACAAAACATTAAATAATACAAAGAAGGTGCAGCTGTGGTGTTTCAGAAGTCCAAGTAGCACAAGTCAGCTTGTTCTCAGAGTTTTTATTTGTAGTTTGAACTAAAGTTGTGGTTGCAGCCAAGGACATAAATTTGGGTTCATCACAGGGTTTAGATTGTCAACCTGCCAGACCTCTGCTCTCACGCTGAAGAAAAAAAAAAAAAAAGGAGCAAAATTCTTGACCCTTATGAACATGAAGCAATAATTCTTGGTAAACTGCAGCTGAAAATACATAAAATCAATGGTTTATTTGTTCAAATAATACATCATTAAAATATGCTTGTTATAAACTAAATGTATACCAGAGATGTTAATTTCCTTTGACCAAATTCAATTAAAGATTACTGTATTAGTGTAAACTGATGACATCCTGTTAGTAGTTCGAGCTCAGGGACACAGGATCTCTGAATGTCTCTGAACACGTTACAGTTCAGGGAAGTTTCTACACTTAACAAATGTCACGTCTTTACAGCTTGTACCTTACAGTCCAGACACAATATCTGCTTTCACTAGCTGGGCTGTGGCCTCAACCCTGCATAAAATTTTAGACCTTTAGAATCCAACTTTTAAGTTTTTCATGAACTAAAATGTGATGAACATTCTAGTTCAGGGGACAGGGTTTAATAAGAATATTTTCTTCTTCCTGCTCCTTTTCACACATGGTTGTAGTGCTTTTTGATAGAAAGTGTGGTTGGTTTGTTTGAATTGTTGTACCAAGTGTGAAATAAATAAATAAATAAATAAATAAATAAATAAATAAATAAATAAATAAATAAATAAATAAATGAAATGAAATGAAATGAAATGAAATGAAATGAAACGAAACGAAACGAACTGGCCAGTGTGAGAGATGTCACAAAATAATAAATTTAAAATAAAGTCAAAAATCAGAGTGGACAACTGGGCCGGTTCTAGACAGGCATATATGAGGGGAAAGACAGAAATATAAAGGGGGCACATGGTGGCAATGGAGGCGATAAAGGTGTGGGGGTTGGGTGGGGTGCTCTGGATTAGGGCTGCCACAAACTATTATTTTGATAGTCGACTAGACACCAATTATTTTTGCAATTAATCGACTAATCAGAGCATGCATCCATTGGACGTAAAACGTACAGTTTATTGCATCATTGCACCTGAAAACGATGTGCTGGGAGTTCGCTGTTCTCGCCGGCTCTAGTGAGCCTTGAACCCCCGGCTAGCTATGGAGCTGGTGGGTAACAGACATCTCAGAAAACGTTTCAGTCCATTATTACACTCTTAAATCCTACTAGTTATTCCTGCATCTTTCAGGATCTTACAAAGCTTCAAACGATGCTCTGACTATTAAATTAGACGTTGATGATTTTGATAGTCGACATAATTGTGACTAGTCGACTAACCTTGGTAGCCCTACTCTGGATAAATGTTTTTGTCATGTAATTGGATTGGACTTTGTCAGGCCTCTACCCTAAGACCTGACCAACTTGTCCCACCTCAAGGCTAAGCTTCTGCTGTTCTAGCTTTTATGGTCACTAAGGCGCGCAAACCCCCTGACCATTTTAAGGTGGTAATCCCTCAGGGGGAAAACAGAAAAGAAACAAAACAAGAAATGAAATAAAAATATTGCTCATTAGATTCTAACAACTAAAAACATGACATTTACCTTAATTGGATAGCCTATATCAAATATATTCGAAACCAACAATAACACTTTACACTATTGCCAAATGCCAATATTAACAAAACTAAAAAGGGTGGGCCCAGTTATAAAAAAGAGAATTCACAAAGTCTTGAACAACAAAATGTTTAAAAATGTGGCGAGTTTACCTGGTGATATCCTCATGCGCGACGCGATCGGAAAACAGCAAACAATTAACACCACGCCGATGTTGTTCACAGGACAGCAAGAGTAAACGATCGGGAGACTCTTGTCGTCGTTATCGTTCCCCTCGCACGGTTTATTTCTCCGAATTTCAGCGTTTTTGCTTCACAACTAAAGCGAGCAGTTTACTTTGTGCACTAACATGGATCGAGTCAACCAGCGCCACCTCTGGCCAAGTGCCACAGCCTACAGCCAGATCAACCTGTGACACACATCTGCACACGTTTGAATTCGTGTCATGCACATTTGTACCTTTCAATTGTGTCTGTTTGTGCGTCATGCAAATAAACCTTTGAAATGAATGAAATGATATCATATATTCCTTATTGGCCTACATTTGTACAAAATTCCAAATTATATACACAAAGTCATAGAAATCACCACTCCAATTGGTCATCATGATTTTGATATTCTCTTTTTCCATAACAATGAAATACACCTTGGACAAATATGACACATCAATATTTCATTAGTGTTGTCACATCACATCCTGTAAGCATCGTCTGCCTGTGTCCTTTCTCTGGAAATTAATATTTCCAGCCAATATAGGCAATTCATCAACATGGCTGGAGAGTTGGTAGTTATATATAAAGTCAGTGACTCAGGTGTGTCGCTTGGTTTGTCATCTGTTTGTGAGACTGGAGGAGACGCAATCTTTTGTTTTAAATCTTAGTTAGGAAGATTCCTGTTTTAAAACAAGCACGTTTTGTGAGAAATGCAAGAAGTACATCTGCAGAAAGCACACAGTTACATTCTGTCCATCATGTGAACAAAATTGAAAATGTTGAGCATTGAAAAACTGAGAATGTTGGGCAAGTTCAAAAGAAATGTGTTTGTAAGAACGAAAAACCAAATTGTTCCTAAAATAGTTATGGAAAGTCTAACTGTTGTATGTCTGTGTTCTACATGTTTATCTAATGGAAAATAAAGTTGCTATTGTTTCATTGCAGTTTTTGAACAATTCTGAGTGAATTTACACAGTACGGGTCAGAATGACCCGCAACAAAATCAATGTCATTTTTTTGTTCTTCAACATAATACAAGGGTTCATTTCACCTTGCCTATGATCTTCAATTTGTAGCAGATCCACTATCACACAGCAGCTAGAGCAGTTTCAAATGGAGGTCAGTCCACTGCTGCCACCTGTGGCCAAATACCATAGCCCACTACTAGATTAATTTGTGACACAGCTTCACCTGCTGCTATGATGACATTGAGAAGAGGCTGAGTGGCTGCACTTACCCCTGGTACATCCAAATCTACCCACAAACATGTTGAAAGATGCAATGGCAGCAATGTGGATTGTCAACACTAAAAACAGCTGTCTGAACATTTGCATGATGAAGAGTAAATTACGTGCCTGGCTTATCTGTGTGATATATTTTCTCGTCCGAACGAGCTCAATCTCAGATTACAAGGTGTTTCTGCAACCATATTCAATGTTCAAAGTAAAGTTGAGGCCATGATAAAGAAGATAAACCTTCGGAAGAACTTCATGGACACAAACAACACAGAAGTCTTTCCTGTGCTGCATGATTTTCTGTGCTCATTTGATCTGACACTATCAAACAGTGTAAAGCGCGAATGTAACATGGACCTTGAGGAGCTGGAGTGCGGATAATATTTTTCTCAGGATCTGATGGGACCCAAATCAGAGCTAAAATGAGGGAATAATGCTCTTGCTTGCAAATACCATCCAAATAAATGGTAATGTTTCTCAGTGGAAGTTTGTTGTGGAAGTGGGTAACAGAAATGTTTTAGCCTAGGTGCTGCTGTAGGATGTGATTTTAGCCATACAACTACCAAGTGACCAGAATGTAAAATCAAATCACCTTTACTTTTCATTTCATGGATTTTATGCTTTAATACTTTTTCCCCCTCCTCAGTGTAAGCTCGACTCAGAGTTTGGGAAGCTTACAGGAGGAAAGATGGATTTTTTTTTTTTTTACAAAGATGGGAAGCCAGCATCATTCTGAAACTAAAATCAGTGGCTGGCCTGGAAACAAGAATGTCCTCTCTGCTGAAGGGTCTTGTTTTTCATTGTCAGATGAGGCTTGTTACACTGCCCTGGTGGTGATAACACACCTGCTCCCAGCAGTTGGTGCATTGTAGCCTGAAATCAGCAATAACACACTTGGTTAATTTTGCAGTGGTATGTATTCAGTCAAGTTCACACTTTATTTATTTGCCTGAGGAAAGCATCTGACTACACTTCACTGATTACTTCTCTAAAATCTACTTTTATCTTCCCTGTCTCTAAGCCTGGAACAAGTATTGCATCACTTTGCAGTGGTCCTGAAGCATCATCAGCAACAAACCAACCCCAGCTGATATGAATCTGTGATCTAAAAAGCACAACCAGGCAGTATATCATTGTTCCTCTGAATGATGACCTGACGTGTGCTGTGGACAAGCTTTTCAAACTAGGTATGTAACTGAGTATCCAGCTCCACTTGATGATAATGATGAATGTACCCCTGAACCTGGTATTGTTGTATTATTATAACAGTCAAATAAGTTGTTACATAAACTACTAGTGTTTTGGAGCTTTGTGATCCTTTATTTTTCAGCTTGGAAATAGCTGTGGCAGAAATCGCCACTTTTATTTGTCTTCACCAGATGGGGCTGCTAGGCTGTCATTCAGATGCTTCCATTTTCTGCCTGGGCAGTTGCCCTCAATACAAAAAATAAATAAAAGGAAAAATATACAATTTTGACCTCTCATGCTTTGCTTTATCTTAATATAGCTTAAAATGACACACAGAATGTGAAGATTCAAAATTGATGTTCTGTAAGAACTACGTCATCAAAGCAAACAGTTTGTTCTAATATGCGGTTCATCAGAAAAATAGAAAAAATGGCATCATATTAAAAGTGACCACATTAGTTTGATTTGAGCGTAAAGCGAAAATTTACTTAATCGCAGCAGGATTCTGGATTTGAACTGATCAGACTGACACTGACCTGAAGTGAAAATGTGATTATTCCGACTTTAATAATATTGAGTGATGTTATTTTCTTGTTTTGAGCCAAACTGGATTTCTCTACAGGAACTCTGCATTAAAGGGTCAACACACCAAAAAGGGTTTTGGTAACATTTGTTTGCTTATGTAAGACAGAAACTAGTCAGAGTGATTAATAATGAGCACAAGTTAAATGAGCTCATAACACTAAATGGGCTTTATCAATTCTGCACAGAACAGACCAGCTTGAATTCTCTTAAAGAAGTAAATTCTTAAACTGAAGGTTTCTGATTCTTAAATCAAAAACCAGAGCTTAAAGAAACTGTCACGGCTGGCGGGGTGAGCCGTGTGGTGTTGGAGGAAAAGGAGGACCCAAAATGCAGGCAGCCGACTGATGATATGAGTGAGGGTTTATTTACAGGTGACAGTGGCAGAAACAGACAGTGAAGCATGAGAAAACAACTGAAGAAACCTAAACTGGAAGAACTAAATGACAAACCTGAGAGCATACAAAAGGGGTGCGGGGCAGAGAGCCGCAGAGACAGGCCCGAAACACCATAGAACGCAGACGAACCGACAACGAACACAGACCGACACCCACTATATATACACACACAAGGTAATCGGGTAATCGCACACAGGAGAGAAGAACAGCTGATCTGAATACACATGATGACTGGAGGGCACAAGCGGAACACAATGACAACAGACCTTCAGAATAGAACAGGAAATCCAGAACACGAGCCTTCAAAGTAAAGCAGGAACACACAGTGATTTACAACACAACACGGGGACATGAACAGAGCACCGAGGACAGACACAGGTAGGGCTGAATATACACCAAACTTCAGGTTCAACCCTAAACTAATACAAAATCAGAATAAACACAAAGCACAAAAATGAACTTCAAGGAAACACAAAACGCTGGGTCAAAATGACCCAGGACCATGACAGAAACAACCTATGTGTAGGATTTGGAACAAATGTAAGGATAAGTGTGAGCTACTTAACATCAACTGATCGTGTTGATGTTTTTCTGTTTTATTAAAGATGGCTGCTTTTCATTTGAAACGTTTCTGGATCTGGTCTCTTCACTGTACTTTGTTCCATCACTCCTGTGAACCTAGAACTGTTCCAGTAGCTTATATATCTGTTTACAGTGACATCAGTGTTAAAACTGCTACAAGAAAACAGTTTCAGAACAAAAAAACCCCCATCAGAATGGAATATTCTTTTATTCAAAGGAATCATTTAATGTAAAATAACAATAAAAGTAAACATTTCTGTGATGAATGAGTTTGAATTAAATAAAACACAATTCTTGGTTAAATGTATAAAAGCTGATTTTCAGGAGAAAACAACAATATAAATAAAACAGGTTTACTTTATAATGAAATCTTAATGTGACTTGATATCATAGATTTTGGTATTTCAACAGGGTAAAAAAAAGATTCAGTTGGCAAAATGAATAAATAAAGTTTTATTGGCTTTTAATTAATCACTCATCATCTTTCTCTGATAATTATAGTAACTCAACATTTCTTAATTACTCCTGTCAAATGATTTATTTAGACCCAGAGTTTATGGAAATACAAGAAAAAGAAATTTTGTTTATTTAAAATATTTACAAATGAACTCTGCTCAGTCTAAATGTTCTGTTTTACCTGTTAAGTGAAGTCATTTCTAACATTTAATGATTAATATTTCAAAATGTGAAAAAGTGGAAATAAAATGTTTAAAAAACTTTTTTCGATGAACAATATGACCTATAAATGACCTTTGTCTACATCTTGTGAGTAAATAAAATATACGAATAAAACTCCAATATTATAAAGTTGGACCTTCATCTGACATCTCTGCAGCTTAGTTCATACAAACTATTTCCAGCTCTGCTCTGTCAGTGTGAATATTAAATTTACTGTTAAACAACATAAGTTAGAGTTTATAAAGATGCAGATCAAGTGTGAGAATGAAAACTTTATCCATGATTACATTTGATTTCTGTCTGGTAATGTTTCACATTGAGGATCAGACCAAAGTGAGAATCAGTGACTCCATCAAAACAATCTGCACGAGCCTTCTTTAATATGCAGTTTAGGAGAGTTGAGGTTAAATGTGAATGTTGGTCTGAAAATAAATATTTAAAATGTATTTGTTTAAAATAAATTATTGATTTTCTAAAATCTGATTATTATTGTTTCAATAAAACAGCTTCAGCACAACAAGAAAATTTACAAACCAACAGAAGAAAATAATCTTTTATTCTAAGGTGTCAGTTAAATGTAAAAAGAACAATGAAAGTGAGTTTCCATGTTAAATAAATCTGAACTAATGACTGAATGTGTCTGAAAAGCTGATTTACTATCAAACACAACAACAACAGAATCACCGAATGTGAATTATTTCACTTCACAAAGACATTTTGTGATCTCAATAATCAAAGAAACCAGCCACAGTATAAAACATCAGAAGATCCAGAAATCTTTCAAACAGCTGCTGCTGATTAAAGTTAAAAATAACAGAAGAAAGAAAATTTTTAATCAAATCTATCAAGTGTAGTTACACTGATGAGACAGTTTCAGAACTTAGAAGTCAATTCTTTGAATTTGGAAAACTTTAAAGAAGACGCGGTACTTTAAAATGTTATTTAACTGAAAACAAGGTGCTGATAATCAGGAAAATTACGATCCTGTAGTTTTAAAGTTGACTCTTGCTGATGTGACACAAGTTTAATCATGAATCCTTCTTTTAAGAAGTGTCACAGTTTACTGTTCACACTCAACAACTTTGAAAAGCAAAGAAATCATCATTTAGATTTTAAAATTATCAAAATATTTATATCAACATGAGAAATATTCTGAAAATATTAATTTAAAAGAAACAAGAATATAAAAACCAAAAGTTTTTTCTGACAAAAACTTGAGTCGGTCAGAAGATTTTCACATGAAAAAGTTGGTTTGGTTTCATTCAATTGCTAATATTTCCATTAGTTCAACAAAATAAAATACAACTTGATAATGAAGTTAGACAGTTTGATTAATAATTTCCTAAAATGAAGCCTCCTGCTTCAAACAAAAAACAGTTAAAATAAAGAATCACTTTACAATCAAATCTCAGTCTGACAGATTTTGATATCAGAGGTTTTGGCGTCTCCTGCCTCTCCAATATAAAAAAATGGGAAGAGTTTCTCAGTGAAAGTGTCTCTGTAAGTGTAGATGTGAGTCATGTCTTCAGGGTCATAGAAGGACACCTCCCCCCTGTCATAGTCCAGCTGGACTCTGATCCTCTGGAGACTCTTCTTCACTTGTAGACGCTGACCATCACCATGGCAGTATCTTCCACTTCTATGCGCTAAACACCAGATTCCACATTCTGGTGAAGACAAACCCGATTCCTTCCTGTTAGCTGACTCTTTAACTAAACCCACAAGCCAGTGAGGATGATCTCCCACCTCCACCTCCCAGCTGTGTTTACCTGAGCTGAAGCCCTCAGAGCCCAGAACATTGAAATAATTATTGTATCTCTCTGGATTATCAGGAAGCTGCTGATCTGTGTCTCCATTGCTCACACTGGTCAGATCATCAGACAGATAGAGATAGAGGTTTGCAGTGTTTGGGTCCAGAATGACAGGACTGAAGTGGACCTTCTCCTTCATCTTCTCCCACACTCTGAAGGACAGGTTGCCCAGGTGTTTGGCCACATCTATCAGTGCTCCTGAGACCAGCTGTGGATCTGACACTGAGCTCTGGGCTCTGGCTCTGCTCTGAGTGTCTTTATAACTGCTGAGGAATGGCACGCTGTGTTTCTGCAGCTCTTCTTCAACAGCAGAGATGCTGTCTGACAGAGAGGAGATCTGCTCCTCAATCATCTTCATCTCTCTGCTGATAGTCCTCCCCTTCTGCTCCTCTTCCTCCCTCAGAGCTGCCAGTCTGGACTCCTCTTCCTCTTTCAGGAACTGCTGGAGCTTGTTGAACTCTGCTCTGATCTGCCTCTCTGTGGACAACAGCTGCTTCTTGGAGTGTTGAATCACTTCATTGTATGTTTCCTCCACTTGTTTGTATTTGTTCCTCTTGTCCTGCAGAGACTTTAAGTCAGATTTCAGCTGCTCCTTCAGGTCACTGACTGCTTCTTCTACAGGAACCACTTTGTGACTCTGGTGGAGAGAAAAGTCACACACAGGACACACAGCTCTCTGCTCGTTCACACAGAACAGTTTAGGCACTTCCTTGTGTTTACTGCACACCACTGTTAATTTCTTCTCTCCTTTTTCTGTCTCAGATGATCCAGATTTCTGTCTCCCAGCAAATGAATCAGCAAGTTCTTTCAGTGTAAAGTTTACCCGAGGATGATCCTTTGAAGATTTTCTTTTACAAATGGGACAGTTTTTGTTTTTAGTTTGTTCCCAGAATTTCTGCAGGCAGCTTGAACAGAAGCTGTGGTTGCAGCTCAGAGACACAGGATCTTTGAAAGTCTCTGAACACACATGACAGCTCAGGTAATCTTCAAAAAGTCCGAGTTTCTCAGCCATTTGATGTTTAAGTTTTTTTTTAACTCACCAAATTACTCCCTCTTGAAATTTCTGGGTAAAATCCTGCAAACGTTTCAGCACAGATCTGACTCCCTGTAATGGCGTCTCAGCTCAGTTCAAAAGTGTCGGAATTTACTTTCATTTTCATGGATCACGTGTTAAACTAAAATGTACACATAATATTTGTAAACGACAGAGGGCGCTGTCAGAGTCATTCAGATAGTTCCCAGTTCGTGTTTCATAAGAAAACACAAAAAATTGGTGACCTTTTTAAAAGTTTTTTGTTTAACTAAACAGAATATAAAACTGACACAAAGAAGATGAAACTGTGAAAAAGTATTATAATAATAATAATATAAAAATTAAATAATTTTGAGTAAATTCCAACTGAATTATACATAATAAAAAGTTTATTTATTCAAATAATTAATCATTAAGGAAAACATACTTATTATAAACTAAATGTATACCAGTGAAGTTTATTTATTTATTTATTATTTATTTCACACATGGTACAGCAATAATTCATTTCCCATACTCAACCTTCCTTTCAATTAAAGTAACACTGTTTCCATGCATGAAAAGGAGCAGGAAGAAGAATAAATTCTTATTGTCACCTGCCCCCTAGTAAAAAAGTAAAAAGCAGAAAGTAAATTTCATCTGACCAGATTCCATTAGTATTACTGTAAACTGAGTATGTCCTGTAAGTAGTTTGAGTTCAGGGACACAGGATCTCTGAATGTCTCTGAACACGTTACAGTTCAGGAAAGTTTCTACACTCAACAAATGTATCGTCTTTGCAGCTTGTACGTTACAGTCCTTCAAGAATGCAAAGTTCTTTTAGAGAGCTCACCTGTTGTAATAGTGTTCTACTTAATTAATAATCACCAAACACAATATCTGCTTTTACTACCTGGGCTGTGGCCTCAAACCTGCATAAGATTTTAGATCTCTAGACTTCCAAGTTACAAGTTTGTCATGAACTGAAATGTGGTGAACTGACCAGTGTGAGAAATACCAATAAATAAATAAAAGAATCAGAGTAGACACTGAGAAACCAGAAATTCTAATAATTAAACAAACAAACAAACAAACAACCAAACTGATATAAACTCGTTGATATAACTTAATATGATATGTAATGGCGTCTCAGCTCAGTTTAGCAGTGTCAGAATTTATTTTGGATCACAGTCACGTGATAAACTGAAAGACGAACGTATTATTTTTGTCCACCAGAGGACACTGTTGGTGTCATTCAGCTGGTGTTCCAGTTTGTGCGTTATACAAAAACATAAAAGCCAAAATGTAAAAAAAGGTTCAACTCTTCAGCTTTTTAATGCTAAACAGAATATATCAATGACACAACAAAGATGAAGCTATGGTGTTTCAGATGTTCAAGTACCACAAGTCTATCTATTACCAAGAAATACATTAAAATAAAATAAATAAAAACATGACAGTGGACAATGACAAACTAGGAATTATAATGAAAAATAAATTGATATAAACATGTTGATATAACGTAAAATGAGATGATAGAAAATTAATGGTAGTTGTGTGTTCCTGCTGCATTTGAATGTTCAGTGGTGGATGATGAATACAATTAAATCACAAAGATATTATTACAAAAATATTATTTGTTTCAGTGTTTGTGTGTGACTGTGCCTTTGTAGTCATGTTTGTGAAACATTCATCTTCTGTAGGTTCCCAAGTAGAGGGTCAGGACTTTCTACTGAATGGAAATGGAATAGAAACACTTGAAACTGACAACATAGAAACATTTACTGTCACATGTCATAAATCAGATTCTGGTGATTATAAAAATAATCACAAGCCCATACTTTAATTTCTTTTCCATATAATAAGAAATTGAAATCATCCGACTTGGATACTGGTTGATATCATATCTAAATATATTTTACTGTCATCTGACAACCTTTAATAAGGTATGATGTTTAAAGTACTACTGCTTTTGAAGTTGCCAGTCAGAGTCCCATTTTTATGAAAAAGGCTTAAAAAGAGAAAAATAGTGAAGAACTCTCATAAATGCATTAAATGAATCCACGAATAGACAACAAATTACTGTGTTACAGTAGCCAATGAAACAGAAAATACAAAAAATTTGAAAAGCTCAATCAATCAAAATCTAATATGACACAATAAGGAGCTTGCATCTAAACTGAGTACAGGGATTGTGGTGTGAGGTATAGATTTTCGGTATCTTTTTTTTGTGCCAGTGATGCTGAAAATGTTGTTGAAGGAAGTGTTAATATGACATGACAGAACATCAATGATAGTTGTGGGTTTCTGCTGCATTTGAATGTTCAGTAATGGGTGATGAAGACAGTTAAACAACAAATATATTATTACAAAATTATTTGTTTCAGAGTTTGTGTTCCACTGTGCCTTTGTTGGTCATGTTTGTAAAATGTTCATCTTCAGTAGGTTCTCAAGTGAAGGGTCAGGACTTTCTACTGAATGAAAATGGAATAGAAATACTTGAAACTGACAACACAGAAGAATTTACTGTCACATGTCATAAATAAGATTCTGGTTAAAAAATAAATAAAAATCAGGTTACACAAGGCCACACTTTTTTTATTTCCATGCAATACAAAATTAAAATAATCTGATTTTATACTGAATTATATCACATTTAAACATATTGTACTGTCATCTGACAATTGTCGTGGAAATTTTAAATAAACTGCAAACACTTGATGAGTATCTATACCTGCAGCCCCGTCCTTGAAACCTCCCCTCATCTGTGGAGATAAAGAGGAGTCTCACTAACTTAGAATGCCCCACTGTGTGTGTAAAACATAAAACACATATGACATAAAAGTGATATTAATATTACTAATGTGATATTGTTAGTACACGTGATCAATACATAAAATAGAGAAATTTCCATGACACAATGAGTCCAGCAGCCAATGGAACAGAAAATACAAAGAAGTGATAAGCTCACTGGACCAACAGTTAATATGACACAATAAGGAGCTTACATCTTAACTGGGTACAGGGTAGGGATGGGTATTGATAAGATTTTCACGATTCTGATTCCATTTTCGATTCTGTTTAACGATTCAATTCTTTATCGATTCTCTTATGATTCCTTTTAAAAAAGGAGAACAATAAGGTCGATTAGCTTAAAACTTTGTTTTATATCTTCTCTTTGAACAAGATAGAAATTTAGGAGTAACATGGCCTTACAAACCCAACAGTGAGATCTTAAGAGATCCACAGCCTACGGCTCTTCAATGGGGTTTCACAGGGTCC